CCCAACCGGTCGAGGCAGAAGGCCACCCACCAAGAGCCGGGGTCTGTCGGAGGTTTCTTCTGTTAAAGGGAGTTTTTCCTCCCCACTGTCGCCAAGTGCTTGCTCAAGGGGGATTTGTTGGGTTTTCCCTATGTAATAATATTGATAACAGTAAGGTCTAGACCTTACTTTGTAAAGTGTCCTGAGATGACTTTTGTTGTGATTTGGTGCTATACAAATAAAATTTGATTTGATAAATGTGATATGATACGTTTGAAAATCAGTCAATGATTATTACTAAGCTAAAAGATAATGAATGTTGCACATTTATCACCTGGACAAAAAAACAACTCTGGATCAATGCTGATGTTGTCCCATGTCTGCTGGTTGTGTAAATAAACATCCATTTGCTAACATGTCCTGTGTAAAAACCGTTTAAAACACTAATATGTCACTGTTGTATTTACACCATTCTTTATGCTGTTAGTAAAATCACAAACTAAAATAACCCTCTGCTTTCAGAACGATAAACACCGTGTCAGCCACCCACCCTCTGGGATGGCGGTCCAGCTCGTTGAGGACTGTGTGGTCACAGTACTCAAACACAAGGTGAAGCTTCCGCTTACGTCGAAAAACCTCGATCAGATTCACCAGGTTGGCGTGTTTCAGTTGCTGCATAGACACAAATCATTAAAGGGAGTAATAATCATCTTGATATGCAGGGCTAGGTAAAACGCTGTCATGAAAACAAAGTCAAATTTAACCAGTAAAGTCTGTTGTAAAGAACTGCACAGTCTGCAGTTTACTCTGATCAAACACACTAAACTGTTAACAGATGGTAATAAACATGCTGTTGCCCCTGACAACGCATCTCCATCCTGTCCTGTTGATGATATCCTGGTGTCCGGCAGGCCACTAACACTCCCACCTAGTGCATGACTAATCAAACCACAAACAGCGGTGCCAGTGCATCTCTCATAATTATTATACAACATAAAATAAACAGATGGAATAGCGTTCATATGTTTGTTCTTTTTCCTCAATGAAGGCAACTAAAAACTAAGCTGCTGATGGTTCTGTTGTTGATTTAAAGTCTCTGTCAGTCAGGCAACATAGTTTAGAGTCTGAGCTGTTGAATTACTGTTAAAAACAGAGAGGTAAATGCATACTGTGATGATGTTCAGTTGGTGCCAAAGCCTCTTCAGTTGTTAAAGGTTTTTCCCATTTTAATTGAGGTGTTTGAGTTGGCTGTGTCCTTGCAGGGCTTTTCCTTCACTTGCTTTTTAAACCTGTTGCGAGTGAGAGTTTCTTTGTGCAGCAGCTATAAAAAATGCTTCCCAGAACTAATTGAATGGGAACCCTCCTGCTGCTCCGCACAACAGAGAGGACACTATAGCCCCTTACACACTGCCTTTTTGAGGCAGGATTTGTGCGCCTCTCGTTTTCTGTGCCAGAATGGCGGGCCATTTTCGTTCCGCCTTAAATCGGCCTTAGTACTAAAGGCGAAACAAAGGGGAGACGGGCTCTGTGTAGAAAGGGTGAGCCAGCAGACCGGGACCGAGTGATACGTTTTGATGATGTAATATGTGTGCGACACTATCACTGGCGTCTCGCTCTGCGTTGAACTTTTTTCGGGTCCTCGCTAACTTATAGGTCAAAGCATTCCTGATGTCATGAACGCTTTGGTTACAGTTATTACTCATGACATTCACACATATAGCAAGAACCACGCTAATCAATTTTGCATAAAGTGAAAAAAAATGTTTGAACAAACAAAGCTATATCCGCACTTAGCGCTCCCATCATTGTTGTTTTGGTTTGTAGACTACTTTTAATACCAAAGCCGTAACTTTTCACTTTTAATTTTATGAATTATTATTATTACTTTATTTTTTATTCTAACCTTATTTTATTTATGTATTTATTTTCATCTTTTCTCTCCTTCCTCTCTTGTTCTGTTCAAAGGCGGGGTACTGGCAACCCTTTGGAAATTTCAGGGTGAAATCTTTTTAGTTTGAAAAGTCTGTCTGAATGTATAGTCTCACACTTTCCTGGTCCATATTATAAATAGAAGAGAGTACATTTTGGTTTACATATTAAGATGTGTTGAAAAGGTCAAAGGTTAATGAAATACAGACATAATGCGATTCAGTATAATAACATATTTGTTCTACGGTTTGATACTGAGACTCTGTTCTTGGTTGTCTGCATGAATTTAAAGTATGAGAAGAGACTTGTATGCAAGCCAAGAAAAGAAAAAGATAAAAATGTTAGTGGTGATAAAATTAGAGAGTGTCTCAAAAATAATATGACTCAAGTCAAAATTAAAAAATAAGTCAAATGTTTGACTTTTTTTAAATCATAATTTTCTCTTAATAAACCAAAATTTAAATCATTATGAAAACATTTGGATTGAGGAAGGCAAAACTGTGACTTTATCTCTCATAGTTAACTTTTTTATATATATATAATTTTGACTCAATAAACCTGAATTTGATTAACTTTCATAAAATTTTCACTTTCTTTCTCATAATGGTGACATTTTCTTTTATAGTTTTGACTTAGAACTTCATCATTATGCCTTAGTAAGTTGTAATTTATGACTTCTTAAAATATTTTATCTCAAAATTTGGCACACTGCCTCATAGTTTTGACTTTTTCTCTCATAGTTTGTGATATGCCATTAGCTGTTTTTATATCTTGACTAATTTTTCATCATCTTTTTCCCTGGCAGAAATGGGCTTCCATAGCCTGGTAAACCTGAGTTTTTGTTACTGTCAAAAACATACATGTGAAAGCCTTTTTGGAGAAAAGTGAAAATGTACTGAAGATTACAACTTGAGTTGTGTTGTTACCTTGAGCATCCTGATCTCCCTCAGCGCTATCTTTTTAATGATGGGATCATCCTCTGACTCCACAAACTTCTTGATGGCAACTATCTGCCCCGTGTCTTTGTTTCTGCATTTGAAGACGACACCATAGGAGCCCTCTCCGATCTTTCCAATCTTCTCGTACTTCTCCATTCTTAGCCTGAACCAGATGTCATCCAAAAGTAAAAACTACTGTCCAGGTGGGTCCGGGTAAGGAGGACTGTCTCTGCAGCCTATGAATTGGACAGAAGAGACACAGGAGGTGCTCACAGCAGGGATATAAAGAAGAGGAGTGACGGTCATGTATGCACCTGCTGCTTCTATGAATAGTTCATCTAATTAAATTGGAATGAATTCATATTAAGGATATAAAATGGGTCTGTTCAGGTTATGTTTCCAGAATGTCTCTGCATCACTGAGTTTTTTTTTTTTAATTACACTGATTTTACAGAAATGTGGCATGTAAAATTATCTGAATATACTGAAAATCACATTCAAGTCTTTGCATGCAATTGGATACAGGCACTAAATGTCAGGATAACAATTTAAACAGCCCCCTATGCGATTAAATCAATCCTTAAGTGCAACATTTTACCAGTCTTGCAACAGTTAGACAGCATAAGGAAAAAATTCACAATGCAAAGTATAGTAGATCACTTCCCTGATGGGATACAGAGCAAAACAAACAACAGAAAGTCAGACTGGAAACGAACAGCCAGGGGAATAAAACGCAGTGCTGCAGTTATAAACAGCGGACAGGGAAATTTTAAATAAATGGCACAAATGACAACATTTATAAGCCATGAATCTGATGCTTGTTGAAAAATAGATACTAAAATCCTGATGTCTTAGCAAAATTTCCTCATGACACCAGTTGATCACAAATGTTGTTTTATTTAAGTAACTTCAGGTTCGTCAGAAAATGTAATACTTAAACCTACCGTCAGAGAAAATGTCTTCAGATGTTTCTCAGCTAGAAATTCAGAAGCAGACCGTTTCTCGCTCCATACGCCTCGTTACAAGTTGGGCGACCGCAGCTCGACTGTCCTGCACAGCCACAGTCTGCTGCTTAAAGTCGGGTCGCGTACATCCGGTCCTGCTTTTCAAAATAAAACGCAAAGTCACCGCGCATCACCGATTTCTGTTAAAAAAAAACTTTATTAGTAATCTTCTTAATTTCAACACTGGTCACAGACATGTAGAAGGGCCCCCCACCTTCCTAAAATGGAGCAGAAGCCCCAGACAGAAAAGAACCCATGACTACAAACAATACAGTTTGATTATTTGATATTTTTACTCTTGTTTTGCATATAAACTTCCGTTTAAAAAAACGCAACTGCAGTCAGTTTTTGGGATGTTAAAATCCCCGATAGAGTCGGGAGACTTTAATTTGAAGATCCAGCTGGATGCCATCCAAAATTAGGTCACTACTTGTCAGGTGACTTCAGCAATACACTGATTCACACTGAAATAAGATAAATAAGCACAATAAGATCACCAGGACTCCACTGCTCTCTCTGCAGAGCATTTACCACAGCAGGGTGCCTAGGAAAGCTGTCTCCATCCTCAAAGATCCCACCCACCCCCAGCACGGACTGCTCAACTTCCTACCCTCTGGCTGGAGGTTCAGAAGTGTGAAATCTAGGACTACTAGACTGAAAAACTCTTTCTTTCCCTCTGCCATCAGACTCCTAAACAGCTGAGGAGTTTATTACCAGGAAATACGTGTTGTACTGTTTACTTTCTCAGTTTGCACATGCATAATTGCACCTTGACTGCTGACAGCTGCACATGCTGCTCCCATGCAGCATACATTCTGTTATATTCTTATATATTTTTTATTATATTGCTGAATTTGCTGCTTAAAGTGCCTTAGATTGTGTGTTACTTATTTATCTACTTTATATTTCACTTGTATTTTTGTGGCATTCATGTGGATGGCAAAGTAAGGATTTCATTGTACAGGGAAACACGTTTCCTAACTGTGCATATGACAATAAACACTTTGACCTTTGACCTAAAACAGAGTTTGATAGAGGAAGCAACACATGGAGGTAATACAAGCACAAACCTAAAATACTATGAACTTTATGGTCATAAATTCTTCTGAATCAGCTGATGCCTTTGCTTCACTACCCTCACAAAATTGACAGTAGCCTTAAAAAAAAAAAAAAAAAGCTCAACTGACTTCCAGCACTATCCAATGAGTATTACTGTGAAGAATGAAAACAAATGTCTCCCCTTTCCTTCCCAGTCCCTATAGAAACAGCAGACTGCACCTCCATAAAAACAGGAAAAGCAGGTCTTCTATGGGGTTTTTAGAGGCTCAGAGCTCAGAGATATGTTTAAAAATAAAGAGGCCTTCTCCAGATATGTACAGAGGACAGTTCACTGAGCTCCTGATCTTTAAAAACCTGAATCTCCAACTGTCTAAACCAGGCTGAGTTAGATGTGTTAGTGATAAAAGAGTTTGTGCTGCACTGATGAAGACTAGTTTCTTTCGCATCAGAGTCCATGCCATGTTTTGGTGGCACTGGTCTGACATCATCCAGCATGTGACTCTGACAGGAGTATGAAACCCTGACGTGCCACCCCTCACACAGAGACCAATTAGTGCATGTTGGTGAAGCCAAATGAACTGCAAACTAAATGTGAAAGTGATGGAAACAAATACTCACTCATCGCTCTGCTGCCTCCCATCAGTAGAGACCTGGTGCTTCATCAGCTCAGATGCGTCAAACCAAAGATAAACCCGAGTCCATTCATTTTAGCTTGTTAACAACAGCTTTTATTTAAAAAAAAACAGCATACATTAAACATGTTGCGAAGGGAATGCAAAGATGTTAAGAGAACCTAGCATTGTCCCTCATTTGTCATTTTAAATTAAAAAATGTACAAAAGTGCTTACATGGTGCAAATAATAAGTAAAAGGTCTATAAAAGAGGATTAAGAAAAAAAATGTACATTATATCCAATGGCTAAAAATGCAGCAGAGCAGGAGCGATGTGACTATAATACATAGTAGTAAAAATAACCCAAAGCTGCTCAGGAGCTGCTCACTAGGTAGTTAATGCTCACACAATGGCGCTGCTCTGCACAACATACCTTATTACGTAACAGGAGATTAATAAATATTGCTTAAATAACCCACAGTGCTCATGGGTTCTGTTTAAACTGATCTATTAGTTTGAATACAGAGTTGTAAAACCTCAAGCCTAACACCATCATGTTACAGTCAATAACACAAATCTAACACAGTCACAAATTCTTGTGAATTTTAATGGCACTTATATCAATAATACCCCTAGATAATATGTAACTCAGTCCACAGTACAGAAAATTGAGGAAAATGATAAGCAACAATGTTCATTTAAGCTTTTATTTCCTTGTTGCTTGAGCAGAGCTACAGTAAACGTGCTGCTGGTGTAAGGCTACTCAAGAATCCGGACTGAAGAGATTCTGCTCATACTGATCTGTGGATCTGGTGATCAATAACAACAGCTCCCAATAACAGTTTTAAACCAGATGCCTCCCTTGACAAAGAACTTCAAGTAAAAGTCTGGAGTTTTCTCCCGAAACTGAGGCATCTTTTCCACTTCTCTAGCAACGTCCAGTCTCTAGCAGAGCTTCAGTAACTGTTCTCGTGACCTGCTAAAATGTACAGGTTGCTCTGGGCTGTGGGGTTGTCTGTGGGCCGGCTCTCCAAAACCACCACCCTGCAGAAGAAACATAGGAACAGCGGTGAGAACATTACAGAATGAAGTCAACTTTGTCCCTTCTCTCTCCCTGTACCTTTATGCAGGTATCCCTGACTCCAGAGCTGTAAGCTTCGGATGAGCAGTCACCCGCCAATGTTTGTTTGTCGTGCCTCTCCTCTATCCCCAACCAGACAAGACAGAAGGCCGTCCACCAAGAGCCTGGTTCTCTCTGAGGTTCCTTCCATTAAAGGGAGTTTTTCCTCATCACTGTTGCTAAGTGCTTGATCGAGGGGAATCTGTTGGGCTTTTCTCTGTAAGGTCCAGACCTTACTATGTAAAGTACCCTGAGATGATTGTTGTTGTGATTTGGTGCTATGCTACTAAAACTGAATTGAAATTGAAGTGAAGGTGGTCGTGGTACCTTATAAAATGTCAAACATAGCTAATGTCAATCTGGCAACTCTAGAAATGAACGTGGCCACAAAGGAAGCTGTCATTTTAAACGACCACACTACAGTGCTTTTCCAAATTTGATTATGCACCTTAAAGCGCATGGGAATTAAACAAACAGGTCTACATTTTGGGAGACACAGTTCTGTCAATCTCTGTGTAGTAGGAGCTAGAATCAGAAGGCGATTAGCGTAGCTTAGCATAAGCACTGGTTTGGCTTAATATACAGACAGGTAACATCTGTCACCAGCAACTTGTTGAAATGTGCTGTTTATTGACAAGGTGATTGATAGGAAACAACAATAATGTAACTGCCCTGACAACTAATGACAAGAGTCGTAGCATCGTGTTAATGGTATCAGTCTACTCAGAACACAGCTCACTGACAGACATGAAAGTTAAACGACAGTCAGATAACGGCTCGATCAGGACAGCAGGGGTTGCATCTTCAGATGCCACCTGTCTGTCTCATGGCAGTGACAGGTGAGTAGGGAAGCTACAGTTTGCACTGTCCTCTCCATCAGATGAAATTACAGAGGCATGTAGAGACACTCAAACCAAGCTGGCACTGCCCGAGCAGCGGTGAATAAAACATGGAGGGTTGGACAGAGAGAGATAGAGAGAGGCCTCACTCCAGGACCGCGGCTCCATCAGGAGTCATCACTGGTGGGAGAATATCCTGGTCTGTGTGTGTGTGTGTGTGTCAGTCAGCTAAATCACATCCTGCTGTGTCTGCAATTTTGTTTTAATTTATCAAACAGGTTTGTTTTCCTGCCTTCAGCAGACAGAGAGAGGGCATTCAAGTATATTGTCATGGGTGCATTCAGGTGCAGCAGGGCTCTGATCCATCAGGGAGTAACATACAGGCACAGAAAATGTCAATTAAAGTATCCTGGAAAATAGACTGAGGAGAGAAAGAGATGTGTGCAGGACAGATGGAGGCAGAGAGATCAGCACAGTAAGAGATCAAGCAGAGGCAGCAGGAGGTGGTTTGCCGGTTTCCAGGTAATAGGAAAACACAGAGACCTGACAACTATAATCAGGACTATCTGGTTTATGGATAAGGATAAATTATACCAGGCCTTAGGGATTTCTGTGGTACGTGCTCACTCCTGTGCACTCACTTAGCTAAAGATGCAAGTATCTCTGCACCAACCTGTCAGATCCCAGGAGGTGGAAGACTCTGCTTGGATCAGAAATCTCTTGGGTCACCTGCGAATGAGAAAACAACTGCTGTAAACAGGTTTAAACAGTTTAAAATGTTTTTCTTTTGTATATTTAAAGTAGCAGTGGTGCTGAGAGAGCATTAAAAAGCGTTATGAGTAATGAAGGGTGGCAATACTCATGGCCAGGGCCATCGACATGGAGGAACACTGCAGGTGAGGGGGGCCTCAAAACGGCCCTCTAACTTATCTTCTGGAATAATTTGTCAAAAATACATATTTGAGGAAATGTTCTATAGTATATGTGACACATAAAGCCTTGTTATTATTATCTTTCTAATTTTCCTTGACATGCTGTACAAAAACAACGTCCCCCCAGTAATGCAAATAAATAAATAAATAAAATGGTTTGGTCTGTCACGCCACTGTAACAGTGTCCACACATTAGGAAAACTTCACAAAAGTCAGGTGCTCAGAAAAGAGCACTTTTGTTCGGATCACGTTGCAAGCCTTTACCAACAAAATATCCAGGTTTTTTAAAGCAGACTAGATAACTGAGTGGTGTCTCTAGGGCCTTGGTGTCACTACGTACAATACTAAAGCTTACCTATTCTAATCATAGGGTCTGGCCTGATAGTGAAAAAGACTAAGGCCCACTGAAAACACACACTCGCATGTTGACGTGACATGAAAACTTGTCGACAGATAGTGGCGGGTGACACCTGTTGGTGCAAGTCTTTGGCCTTGGCAGAGATCTGATCTGTTTAAGTCTAACTGAGAACAAGATCTCAGGTGTTCAGACGAGCACCCGCCAAGGCACGGATCAACAGGCCTATCCCAGCTGAATACCACCGCTTTTGAGAGCAATCATAACAAGACAAAGGCTGAATTATTTAGTGCAGCTCCCTGTTGTGTGACAGGTTTCGTTTATGACTAATCATGAATTTTGCATGGACTCTGACATTTCCAAAATCCTTGCTATGGGAGACCCGTTAGGCTGGGCTGGCTACAGACTTGGCAAAGTCCCCGTTTCATCTGACTGCTGCGGCACCACGTCAGACACAGCAAGATTTCCAAGGGTGGCCTTTATCGCCATATCGCTTTTCATAAAAACAGAAGGCTTCACCTCCCCGTGATCTCTTGAACTTTTATCGTACTGCTGAATGCAGTCGGTGATCAGGTTAACATGGCAGCCCACTTTGCAAGGTGGGCGGAGTCATTACCTCGGCCTGAGACAAAGACTCTGTCTTCGCATGAGGGCTAATCTCCTGGGATCACCTACAGCATGTTGCCACCCGTGTAAACCAACAGCTCTCATGGTCTTTGCTGACAAGCACCTGAGGGGTTTGTTCATGTGTAGTTTGTGTTCATGGGGGTCACTTAAACTGCATTCAGAGTTTCTACTCTGTGGTAACTGGAGATCAATAAAAACTGATACCTGAATATCAGTATCAGTACTGTTTATGTGTCAAAAATCTTTGGGACGATGGTTTGTGTTAAAAGGGAACTACACCATCAAGTTCAGCTACAAGTCTCTCTCCCACCAAACAGTATTTAAAATATTATAAAATATTTATATTTCCTGTTTCTATTACTTGAACAAATAAGTCCCAAGTGTTAAAACAGAAAAAACAGAAAAATGTACAAGCCATACACTTAAGTTATTAAATATCTATCAGAAATGTACATACCCACAAAGTAGATGGTGCTTATAATAAACAAATTAAATGTTGTCAAAAAAGCTTTATGAATCTGTATGTAACATTTACAACCAAGATTTCACTCAGCTGTAGCGAGTACAACATACATTACCTCATTGGACTTGAAGCTTTTTCCCTGCATGCCATGTTTCCAGAAGGCCAGGACACTGTCCTGAAGGCACACTGTTATGGTAAGAGGCCATTTGTTAGTGCACAAGGACATCAGAAATTGCTCAACGTAGCCAGTGCAACATGACCTCTAACGCGGCCGGACTAAGATGAACAAAAAGTACAGAAGGGTAACAAATGAAAGGAGAAAGCAGCATAAAGAGTCTCAGTGAGGCTTCCCTCTAAGGGGATCCAAACCATGCCAGCAGTTGTATTCGCTATGTTCCTCCACTCATTTGTTCAGATTTTTCCTTTAATTTGTCATCTGTCTGTATGTGCAAGCACATTGATTTTGAGAAATAAACATTACGGCCGGATACCTCAGCTTTTCTGTACATCTGTCAGCATGTCATGCTGGGATGTTTAAAACATTTACCTTTGCAGTAAGGGATCTGTCTTTACACCGACATGAATCATTCTCCATATCCAACATTTTATGTAGCACTATTGCGTTACCCACATGCTGAAGTGAAAGACGTGTGTGAAAACTTACCAACAGACTCGATACAGAAGTCAAAGCTGAGTTCAGATGCCAGCTTTTTGTTAGACTTCAGTCTGCCATGGAGATTAACAATCTTCAGATTTTCTGAAGAGAATAATAACAAAAGGCAGTTCGAATCATGTGGCACAGATACGCATCTGGACTGTATAAAACCTGTTTGTAGAGATTATGACTGAAGCTGCTGAGAAGAGGTCGGACTTACGGTCCAAACACACCAACACCGTGTCTCTCTCCAGCTGGGTGACATGGATTGCATCCACCTGCTGATTATCTGTGGGAAGGAAAGCTACATCAGTAACACTGCTAACATCCCATGAAATGCACCACTCACTCCTTAAACACAATAAATTGTTTGTTTTTTTTTAATTAGTTTGTTGTAAAATTAATTCTTGGACATTTATTAATCATTTACACTGTAGTTAATTATAGCTCCTTTTTAATCAGCAGAGAAACTAGTTTCTGCAGAAGTCACCATTCATTCCATTTCATCACAAAGCATGGACATTTCCTTATACTGGTTCCATGACATTCATCTCCACAGAGTATATTACAGCTTGATTTACTTGTCCCCATCTCTGTGAACCAGGAGGAGCAGGAGTTGAGGTTGATGGTCTCAAAGCGGACCACCTGGCCCGGCTCTGTGCCCTGGCTGATGGCCACACACACCAGAGGATACTCCTGCTCTGGGACCACCAGCATCTCAAACACCTTCAGCGGGCTGGGAAGAGGGAAGTCAAAGTGCTGCCACAGGAGGAGAGAGCCAAGAAGAGGGTTAGTGTCAATGGTGTTCTGACGTTTAATGAGGCTTAGAAATTATACTGCAACATAAAGTTAGTGACACTTTGTTATAGGTTTAAGAAGCTACATCAGTTTAGTCGTGTTATAGGCTATTATTAAAAATTCCTTTGCAACAGCTTCGGTGCTGCTTTTAAAGGTAAAAGAGTGACTGGCATTTTCAGCTTATTCCAAGTTACACTGATCCTAATTTTCTTGCACAGTAAAATTACATTACAACATTACAAACATGACCTTGGAGGAATATTATAATCTTGCAGTAAAAACAAGTAGTCCTACTAGTAATGTTTGAGATGAGAAGGGAAGTAGTGAACTGACCTTGATGAGCATAAACCTCTGCATGGGCTCATACCACTGCAGCAGAACAATCCCAGACTGCAGTGCTCCACACAGGTACTTGTGGCCTGTGTATGGGTTCCTCACTGTGAAACAAATAGGAAAAAAGTGCCAAGATGTGTAGCTGGGCTGAGCTATATAGGTCCTCAGTTTATAGCAGGAGTATATGGTTTAAAAGAAAAATGAAAAATCTGAAATTCAATTCATTCACATCCTCAGTCAAATCCATGCACAACAGAAAAAACAGATGTAGCTAAAAGAAGTTGAATTCTTTATATATTCACACAGTTTAATATAGAACTAACAGGCTGAGAGGGAACGGCCACTTACCAATGCAGCACTTGTGACAGCCCTTTGTGTCAGGGATCTTAGTTGTCAAGGCAAACCTCCTGAGGAGAGGTAAAGTCAAGTTGTTGTGACCACAGTCTTAAAAAAAAAGCTGATGATGTCTGAAATGAGGGAAGTTGGCGAGGGGTTCTCTCCTTTTTTTTAATCTACCAGTACAGTCATTTGTCAGTAAAGGACAAAAGAACTGCACAGCAGTTGCAACAGGCTTAAAGTCAGACAAGCAGAGCTGTGACCTTCTCACAGGAGTGTCAGGCATGCTGATTAAAAGTGTAGGTAAAGAACATTATCTATGAGACAAGATTTAGCCTAAGAACCTCGGGCTTGTTGGTCTCACCTGGGTAAAATTTTGTCTGGGAAGCGATGTGTCTGGAACTGAGCGGCCAGGCCGGGCTTCTTCAGCTGCTCAAACAGCCCGATTAGATTATGAGAATACAGCTGGACGGTTTTCCCTGGAGCAGAGGACGGTGAACTCAGTCGTTAGTGAATAGTGTACTCACAAATAAAACATTTCTTAATTTAAACAGTGTGAACACAATTTCAAAATGTTCTCAACAAAACCTGGAACCCTTGAAGCAGCTTTTACATGTAGACAGGTTAGATGTGAAAAGAAGTAAAAACAGAAATGTGATGATGAGGTGAAGCATGATTACCTTCTGATGAAGCCAGTTAGTAGTGTGTCAAATCAAGCCAGGCGAGTGGAAGATGGACAGTGTCCAAGGGAAGAGGAGAAGAGAACAGAGGTTAAGAACGCTGAAGGTAAAACTGAAAGTTGACCTCGCGCGTTGTAATCGCATCCTTGGCTGCTAAACCAAAAAAAGGCTTTGGTTTTTAGGACAAGCCAACTGAAGATTGTTTGATTTCAAACTAGTTTTCCAGCAACAAATGGCAGGTTTGTTCTGTTATATGGTTGAGCTACATTTGTTTTTGTGGCTAGCATACTGTACACTGTAACCTAGACAGACCTTCAGCAGACAGAGCTAAGTGTGTCACTCACGAGTCACCGTGCTACAAGGACACAGCTCTTCTAAAGGCAGTGTAAAGAAACAGCTAAATCAGGGCTGCAGATATGGAATGACTGTGTTGCCCTCAGGGGCAGTCAGATAACACAAGACAAAGAAGCAGCAGGTTTTGACAGTGGCCAGTGAAGCAGGAGGCTGTGATAAGTCCATCACTTACCAGATAAAGACATCAGGTTGCTATTGATAACGTACAGCCATGTACACTTCCTTGGGAACAGCTAAATTGGGAGGTAAACAAAGATGGTAAAATCAGTGCATCAGCTCTCATCAGTGGGGGGAAGAGGGGTTGAAATAACATTAATTCCTCAGTTGAACGCTTGTTAAATCCCTTCCTCGTAACTGTCCAATCACAGCTTAGCAACTACAACAAGGCACAGCAGGTTTGCCCAGCTTTGGATTTCTCCACATGCTGATGGCGCGTGCATGGGACTCTAATAAGAGCGATCCATTTCACCAGGCAAAAATCAGGAAAAATCAGAATGCTGAGAAGTTTACTGTAAATCTGCCATCGTAATCACTGCATATGTGCTGTGTGAGAACACAAAGCTTGACAGATGCACTGACACTTATTATAATGGGGCGGGTCTCTAACAGTCAACTGCAACTGTGAAAAAGTTTATTTATCCCATACACAGTGTAATGAAGACATCAGTGAGATATTCTTTCACAAATACTGGTTCTAGTATTTGGCATTTAGACTGATTTCAGTTGCTGTTACCTGCTCCATTGTGGCTTCATGCAGCTCATTAAGATTCAGCGTATAGATGCCATCCTCCGTCCCAAAGATTAGGTACTGATCTAGAAGAAAAGAATAAAAATGTAATTAAAATGAAGCACTGGCTTTAATAAAGCATGGTAATTCTGTGTGTTTGTGTACGGTGTTTCTTGTGTGAAGCTGCACCTTTGGTGTCTGGATGGATCCATGATGTGGCACAGTTGATCTTCAGTGGGCAGCCATCAAACACTTTAGAGAAACAGGCTCCCATCTACAATAAAAAAGCAGCACAGATCAAAACAGGCAACCTCTGGCTCAGTGAAGTGCTAAAATGTCAGCCAGGGTTCACTGGTCTCAAGTTCAACAGAGCAGAGGCAACCACAAAGCAAAAAGCTCTGGAAACAGGCCAGCAGGGAAACGCGAAGACCGTGAGGGACAGTGCAGATGATACACTCACCAATACTTTAGGAGTGGGTGGCAGGCCATTGATAGCTGGTTTCTAAAGAGGAGCAGAGGAAACAGAAAGCCATAAGATAATGTAGATGCAGGACACAGACAAAGCAACAACAATCATGTTCAATTTAGCTGCTTAATTTAGCTCCAGCCTCGACAATGATCCACACAAAAACAAGGCTGACTGTTCTTTTGTGTCTGTTCCTGTCAAAGTCAGTTAAATGGTTCTACATGAGTGGACGCCAGACTTTCCTCATTAAATGTCAGGGTTTGCATCTTGCAAAGGAAAACATAATTGTGGTTTCTAGTGCAAGGTCAACTGTCTAGTTGGAGACCCCACATATGTAAAATACAGGTTTCAAAATTACACACTTGGTTTTTCATAGTTAGTTTTAGTTCAACAGAACTAAAAATGAGAAGTGTGGTGGTCTGGATTGGAGTACATATTTTAATGTAATGTGTCGAGAAATGTCTTTAAACTCACAGGGAATTCCTTTTTTTCTTTGCGGTGCGGTTGGTTGGGCGATGGCTTGGGACTGCCTTCGTTCACACTGCCATCCGAATCATTATCTGTCATGAAAAAAGCGGGCAGAGGAAAATGACATGAGGCCAAAGCATTATCAACCTGTAAACATGCACAATCTAAATCCACAGATCAGACACATGTACATCAGGCTGTTACCTTTACATTCACATTTACTGAGATCTTATAAAAAATTTCATTTAGAGGCCTGCTTGATTCAGAAAGACAGACACCGATGGAAAGCACACGAGCAGGTTATTGCACATAAATTTAGGGGCCCTGCAAGATAAGAATAAAAAGACAGTGAAGACTCACCAGGGTCTGAGCCATGAGACAAAAAGCCTGGGCTGCTGACGCTGACAGAGAGGAAGTCTGGAGATGACTGCTCCACTTTGTTGCCCTGTTCAGGTGTGCTCTGTCTGCGAGCCACCCGGGCTCGTCTGTTGTCCGAGTTAGGAAACCTCCGCACCGTCAGAGATTTATCATCATTAACGCTGAGCTCCTCGGACGAACAGTTTAATCGTGGCTGAGTGAAAACAGCTTGGTATTATTTCCAAACACTTCGCAGAACACACACTTGTAACATTGATACAAAAAAAATGATAAGAGTAAAAATGTTTTATAATATTAGGTCTCACCTTTGGGGGCAGAGGAGGAGGAACCCCTGGTTTGAGAGTCGACCTGTAATTGAGTTTTTATTTAAGTGTAAACAACAGCAATTAATTTAGTTTGTGTTCACGATGATATTTTAATCTATTGACGTCACTTACGGCTCTACTTCTTCAAAGGCATCGTCAAGATGTGCGACATGTCCACTGCAGTAAACAAACACAGTACCCAGTGAGAAAAGAAGACTAATCAGAGGTCGGGTGTTAACAGTGCAAATGATTATGTAGAATCCCTCTAGAGATAAAGAGAGTATGACTCTTATGAGAAAGGGTTTGTGTTCATTTTATTACTGAACCGTAGCGAACACAAAAATACATTTCTGGAGCTGAATGAAAGGCATGAGAGCTGTAAACATCTCTGAGGCCTGTCATCACTTACTATGTCTACTTTGACATCAGACTGAAAAACATTGCCTGTACCCAGAATTATCCACAGTTTGAACCTACAGCTATTGCCACACTACACACAGCAAATGGAGGGTGATTTGCGGACACGGTGGATGACAAACCACAATGAAAAAAGGGTGGTGATCAAACACGGAGGGGAGCGGATGGCGTACACAACTACAGCGCACACAGAGTTAGTGTTACCGTTGGAACAACTCATCCTCAACGCTTTTGAGAAGGCTCCTTCGAGGGACATGACGACAGATGGACCGAGAGCCACAAGAGGACAGAGAAAACAACAGTCAAAAGGATGCGGACAAGTGAGAAGGAGCTTTAAGGCCAAAGTGACATTTCAAACTGCAGATGGAGGAGAGTGAGTTGAAGCACAGACACAAGTGAGCTCCAGTGAGTAAGCAGGTTAATGTGAGACACCATGAGGAGCAGCCGTAAGAAATTTCTATATACTCAGTATCAACAACAGAACATAACTACCAATACCTTGTTACTCAATACTACCAATGTACTGCTGTTATGAATCTCTGCATTTTATGCTTTAAATACAGACTCCACAGTACAACAAGTGCGCAACAAAATTTTAACCATGCAATTGTTTCCTTTCTCTTGATTAATCTCCAGAAAACACATACACCGACTATATAAGCCAGGTAAACAGAGACAGTGACCTAAAGAGAGAATGGGAGGTAAAGAGAGCAGTTCCCATAGCAACAGTTTCCATGGATTACCTGGTTGTTATTCCTCCCTCTGCAAAGGGGCTCCAGGGGGAAGGGAAGTCATTATCTTTACTCACATCCTGTGGAAAAACACACATGCGCAAAAATAGTTTTTAAATAACTGCATTTGATAATCTGTAGATTTATTTTTCTTTCTGCACACACACACTTAAAACTGCATCGACTACAAACAGAAACTAGCCCCTGAACAATAGTGGTTATTAAATAAAGTGAAAATGATCATCACCATTTCAGAATGAGCCTCAGTTTCCTTTGGGAGGGGTGGTTCAAACTGGAGCTTGTGAACTGTGAATGACACAAACAGCAAAGACTTGTTTTATTTTTCTTGCACACACCTTTGGCACTAGAGGGCATCAGGCCCCAAGACTTAAGACACAAAGTCTCGGGAGTAGCATCTTTGTGCATTAGTACCAGGAGCTTCAGAAAACACCCAGAGTCCCCTCTTAACATTAAATTAAGTGTAAAAACGAATCAAAGCCAGAGCAACTGCTTCCCCTGCAACAATCCTGCCAACAACAGAGATCCTTCACTGATTGATTGTGCTACAATTTGAATGGTTGCTTTGGAGCCTGAAGGCGAGTCGGGCACCAAAGAGGAACTCAGATTACAACTGACACTAACCAGGCCTGTTTGCTTTAGTAATAGATCATGGAGCTGATTGCTCTTAATTTAAATGTAGCTTCCTTGTTAGTATCTGATTAGTTATCTACATGGTAATTGCATTTTTCAGTCAGTCTTAAGGAAACCACGTCACAACCTTATTCAAGCTGTTCTGCTATGTGCTACATTATCCTATTGCTCAGGAGGCCTTAGGAGTTAATTACACAAACACACAAGCATCTCACTACACTGTCATCATCTGTCCCTCAGTGAACCTAGGACTTGAGTATGTCCCTCCACTGTCTGCCCAATTGTCTTCTTAATGTAGGAGGGAAAGTCAGATGTGAGAAATATAGATAAAACAGGAAGTGCATCTGGTACAAACAAGCACAAAGCGCACCGAAGCACTAACATATACAAATACATGTGGAAGGGCACATCTCACTACTGGGCTGTTACCACATCAACCTAAAATGATGAAATGACAAAAGGCCACAGACCTGTGGTTTGACAGACAAGACAGCATTCAGCTTCTGTACAACAACTCAAAACAACACAAACAGCAACTTTTCTGATTAAATATAAACATATATAATCTATTTAGCTGGATCCTTTACTCTAACAACGACTGACTTAAAGCCTAAGTGACCTTTCAGACAAGCTATCCTACAATGTTCTTTCAGTAGAAGATGGACAGTTAACTTGCTAGCTGAATTATAACATGCTATAGAGAATGGACTCTACTAGGTCCGTGTTCTTACGTCAGTGCTGTGTCAGGCTATATTTGTATGCACTAGGACACGGTGTGATCTGGAAAACAGCCAGCCAGTGCTGCAGGATTAGTGAGATGACCCTCAGACAAACCACCACACCTCTATTGACCTAGGCAGCCAGGCTGGCTGACACAGCAACCAGTGATGAGTTTGACCCTTTTTGGGTTGTGTGTGTTAACTTACAGTCTATCTCTGAGCGCGTTTTCTCAGCTCTGCCTGGTTTGTTGGTAGAGCGAATTGTGTGTCTGACAGCAGAGAGGGGCTGAAATGAAGAGTAAAAACATTTTCAAGATAAAGAAATAGGTTTTAACAGTGGGAGCAACACAAGTGCAGAGTATGAGTCTAATGACATGAGTCATTTAGTATAATTACAATATTTATCTTTTGACATCATCTGTAGAAGTAAATTCTGCAACTTGCAGATCTCAGAGAACTTTGTACTGTGTGTTGTGCGTCATCACATTATTATGCATCCCAGAGGCTGTTTGTCTGCACCAAGCTCTGTTGCTTGCAGTCAATAGCCTGCTAGGTTTTTTTCTTTCATCTTGGCCAAGACAGCGCTACTGCTGTCAGGGGGTGAAAAGCACAATGCTCTCTTAAAATGCACTGGTACCACCTCTTTGGCTGCCACATAGATGTTATGCTGTTTCCAGTTGGAATAATAATGTTGATGGAGAGCATCAAGAAGACGGGCAAGGGAAACTTCAGGAGGACATGAAGATACACTCTAGTGAAACTCACCTCATATCTTTTAGTGTCAAATTGGGAAAAAACATGCTTTTTTTTGGCTATGAAGCCATTAAATTTCCCAAAGTAAATGCTAAATGTTATGTTATCATGGTGTATACAGCATGTGGAGGAATCAGACATTACCTCAAGATCATCATCATCCACCTCACTGTAATGCTGGTGGCTTTCTGGGTTGCTCATCTTATCTAGGAGGTCGACAGCAAGCCTCCTTGTCAAACCCGTCTGTGTCACAAATAAATGCTGCAAAAAACCAGACAGGACTGCAAGTTATCATAAACAGGTGCACATCTCTAATCTGACCTACAAGTTCCATGAAAGTGGGTACAGAATCAAAACCTGCCTGCAGGAAGAGAGATTTAAGTCCCAGTTTCATTGTTTTAGACTGATTAAAATTGTCTGCATTAATCATCAGGTACCAGAACCATTATGCTGGGACAAATGTCCTCAGAGAGACACACTCAGCAATCACAATGAGTAATGACAATGGAGTTTAAGTATCTTTTAAGAAGCAGCAGAACTGGTATAGCTTGACTTAGGCCTGAAAATTAAAAACAGGTGCTAGCTGCACCTTTGCTTCCTCTTCAGTGAGCTGAAGCTCTCTGGTTTGCAAACTTTAATAAATAAAACAGGGAATTACTGAACTCTGAACAACAGTTCAGCCCCTGAGCCTGACTTTAAGGCAAACAGCTACGCACGACGATGGCAACAAAAAAAGAAAAAACTGAAAAATGAAAGAACACAGACATGACTGAGAGTTGGATAACATATGCTATTTTGAATAGGTTCAGCTCCAGAACTGCAATGCACTTCTTTGTTTTGAACATTTCAGCATCTCAAAGACACAACAACACCTAAGCTACTGTTACTACCAGAGTAATTACCGAAAGAAGTTTCTCTGCAGTGGGCCTCTTCTTTGGGTTCTTTGTCAGAGACAGTTTGACAAAGTTATGGAAGGCGGTGGACCTGGGAGATAAGATCATTTTTCTGTGATACAATGATCATCACCGTACTGTAGGAAGTATCATTCTGCAATCCCAGAGAAGCACAGTGAATATTCTGGGACACTCACCATTTGTTTCTGTCTTTTAGCTTGGGAGGTTGGAAACTGCTCTTTGACATCAAAAACAAGGCTCTAGGGAAGACAAAGAAGGAAGCATTAAACAGATTGAATGAGGGAAATGTACTTAAATAAGGTGACTAAAAGATGGAACGTTCTGCAGCTTCTTTTAAAATAGTCCAACTGTAATCTGATTACAACAGGATGACCATTCAACTAATTACAGAATGTTATCATTAAAATATGTTCTAATATATACAAGCAGGGAGCAGCCTAAGAACGTTTTGAGAAAGCTCTGACTGATCATTTCTGAAGTAAAGTAAAACGTACCTCATCGGGTGCAGGTCAAACATCGGCGGCTGTAGCTCAGCCAGCTCTATGGATGTGATGCCAACAGCCCAAATATCACACAGCTGGTTGTAACCACCATTCTTCTCCACTGCTGCTACTTCTGGAGCCATCCTAGACAAATGCAGGACAAGAAGTCGGTGACAACTCTCCAGATATGACAGTTAAAGGTTGGCTAGGCCTCCTTGTAGTGAAAACCAAATCTACATAGGCTATAGATGTAGGAAAACTGTTTAATTTCCCCCCTTTGGCTGTGTTTTTAGAGGCCAGAAAGGATTCAGTGACTTTATCTGCCGTGGGAACTTGTGGGTGTAGCATCTGTCTAACCACTACCACTCTTTGTCACCCCAAGCAAGATATGCTGACACAGACAGAAGACTGGAAAATATTACCTGATTACAAGTATTTAATCAGTATAGGAACAGGAGTAATTCACAAAAGAAAAGAGTGGCTCCTCCTCAACATAAAGGCCTAGCGGCTCAACGTGTGAAGGTGCCACACTCACCAATAAGGTGTTCCAATGAAAGACTTTCTTTTGGCAATGGTGGCTGTTATTTTGGCTGCAACTCCAAAGTCAGCTGTAACAAGGATTGACAGGGCTTTTCAGATTATGTAATCCACATACGACTGAAAGCTACTGAGGAGCTCAAGTCCTTCCGAATTAAGATGCTAAGGAGCAACGTACCTAACTTCACATCTCCGTTGTCTGTTAGAAGTATGTTGGCACCCTAGTAAAAAGACCACAAACAAACATTTATTCTCTATTTGAAGAAAATACTTTCAGGAGAGCATAAACATATTTTAGTATCATGAGACCCAGGACTAAAGCGCTGAGCTGAGCCGATGTGTTGTCAGACTGGTTCACAACTAAGAGGCAGTTTTATGTAGCATGAACTGCTCAGCTCTGTACTGGTCTCACTTCCAGTATCACGGTTTTTCGACAGTTCCACCAGTAGTGTTTCTGTTGGCTGTGACTGACAGTCTCTCTGGTGGGGTCATGCGGTGAGAGTAGAGGAAGTACAGGAAGAGCTCACTGCGTAGAGCTGAGTAAAGATAATAGGTCCAGCCCCGACCTTCTCTGATAACACTTGAGACCGAAGCTCCAGCCTGTGTGCACGCACCGGGCACGATCAACCTCAGGTCAACCTCAAAACTGCAGTACGTGACCAACACTGGTCACATTTCAGAGTGAGCCCATTCTTAGGTCTGCAGGGCTTTTCTATGCATTACTGCACACTCAAAGTGCTTCCACACTATTTTCCCCATTCGCCCTCACACACTGGTGATATCCCCAGGTTCAGTGTCTTGCTCAAGGACACTTCAACATGTGGACTGGAGAAGCATTCCAGTTAGCAGACGACCTGCTCTACCTCCTCAGCCACAGCCGCCCCTGAGAAGTCAGACCAGAGCCAACAGGTGCATTTACAGGGACATTAGCTGTTTTAAGGCTATGCCACTGCAGCTCCTTTTGTGCTTCTTCCTCTCATTTTCTTTTCCTCTCTCTCTCAAATGTTTGAGATAGACGTATTATGAAAAGATTCTATTGTTTATCTGTAAACATTTGAGGTAGTGCATTAAGGAACAACAAACCAAAACGGAAACAGACAAGAAAGAAGAGATATGATACCTTGATGTCCCGGTGCATCTTGCTCTTGCTGTGCAAATATCTCAACCCCTGTACAAAAATATATTTAGTAGTGGATCAAATCAAAATGTCTAAAGTTTAAATATATACTCAAATTTCAAAGTGTGACTACCTGCAAGGTTTCTCTGCAGACATATGCAATCTGAAGCTCTGACAGGGGTCCCGTTACTAAACACACAGGCAAACATTCATTTTAAATGTGAACAATACTAAAACTACTCTGTAACTGCATTTGAAAAACAACGCTCACCATGATAAATGTCCTGCAGAGACCCTCCACCGCAGTATTCCATACAAATCCAAAGCTTCTCCCGACTGAAGAAAGCAGAGAGAAATCTTGTTAGGGACTCTGGCTTTGCCAGAAGTTTCCACAGCTTAGTAGCTGAATATTTTGACAGGACAAATGTTTCTTGTTAAACAAGTTACAGTCCTGGTAAAAAGAAAGCAGACTCTCCTTCACTGCTATATTTTTATTCATCAAAGGCTAAAAAACAATTGTGTAGACCTCACCAACTTCTATAAACAATTAAAATAACCTCAGATGGCAAGAAAAGAACACAACAGATTTCAGCATGTGGTCAATGTTTCCCAAAGGTAAACCAACAGTCAGAAACCAGGTGGGAAAAAGAAAATACACCCTATAATCCAGTAAAGTGCAGAACTACCTTTAGCAGCAGTTTAAGAGTCTCACACATTGTTTTTAACCCACGCTTCTCTACAACATTGCTTCAGTTCAGGGACGTCTGAGGGAACTTGTTTTTAGCTCCTGATGAGTAAAAACTGAACTGAAGGAGGGTATACTTTCTTTTTACCATGACTGTAAGATGTACAAATTATCTGTCCTCCCTGAAATAACTTCACTAACACATCCTAACAAAACCTCCCTATTGAGGTCAATAAATAACAGTATTTATGAAGAATGCAGAACAAACAAAGGAAAAGAAAAGCTAAGAGGTCATGAGAAAAGATAAAT